AGCTGCTGGCTCATGCGGGGCCCTGGTGTGGGGCTGACCGTCCTGGACACCTCCTCAGCCAAGACAGGAGCTGGAGGCCGCACCCAGGCCTGCAGCGCAGTAATGGGGACCCTGAGACCCAAGGACAGGGCTCTCCCATGGGCGGTCCTGCCACAGACCTAAGCTGGGCCCAGCCCCGTCCCCAGCGACCCCACCTGCTCTCCCCACCTGTCCTCTGGCTGCTGGCCAGGCCCAGTCTTTCCCAAGTTCAGAGTTCACCCCTCCCCCACCCCCTGGAGACCCCCCCAAGCTTGTGTGTGTGGGGGGGTCCATTTCCCTGAGTGTGGCCTTGACCCAGCTCCTCTCCCTGGACAGCCGTGACTGTGGGCGCCGTGCCCGTGGTTTTGGGTGCCGTGGGCTTCACTGGGGCAGGAATCACCGCCTCCTCCCTGGCAGCCAAGATGATGTCGGTGTCCGCCATCGCCAACGGGGGCGGGGTTGCCGCGGGCAGCCTGGTGGCTACTCTGCAGTCTGTGGGTAAGTGTCCCCCGTGGGGTGAGAAGGACGAGGGCCTCAGAGGGTCCAGCCCAGTCCTAGCCCAGCGAGCCTCGGTCTCCGTGCCTGTGTTACCCTCCGGGTCCTCTCGCTGGAGGCAGGAAGGAGACCTGGCCTGGGCTGTGTGGGCCCTGTGGGCTCTGCCCAAAGGGTTTGTCGGGTAACTTGGAGCGTCTTCACCCCACCTGGGCACAGCCCCTCCCAGCTCTCAGGGTGACCCCGAGTTCACCTCCCTGAGGAGCTGCCTGCAGCAGCCCGCCCAGAGCAGAGGTCCTGGGGGGTGGGAAACCCAGGAGGGTGCTGGCTGGGTGTGTGGGCCTCAGGCCCCCCTGAGAGGCCCCTCAGAGCTGTCCCTGCCTGCTGGGCCCTCTCTGCTTCTTCCGCAGGAGCAGCCGGGCTGTCCCTGTCCTCCAAAGTCATCCTGGGCACCACTGGGTCCGCCCTGGTGTCCCTGGTGGTTTAGCTCCCTGCCACTCCGTGCGGAGAAGAGGAACGGGGGGCCCTGCTGCCCAGCCCGATGCAGTGGGTCCAGACCCGGGGTGACGGTGTGCCACATGCTGCACCCCCCGAAAGAAATAAAGAATAAAAACGAGGTGTTGCCACCCCTGTCGGATTCCTTCCTTCTTGCTGCAGTCAGGTGGGGGAAGCCTCGCTTCACTTTCCGAGTCCCGTGGTGTTGGGGTGCCGTGAGCCAGAAGGAACCTAAATGGGGAGCCTGGATGCGGCCCCTGCCCAGCTTCTGACTCTGAATGTGGCCCGGGCCGCCGGTCAGCTTCTCTGTGGGCCTGTGTCTGCCTCTCCGGGTGGGGAGCTGACCTCAAGGAGCTCTAAGCCCCCAGCCGGGACGGTGCTGGCTCAGGTGTGCGGCGCGGGGAAGTGGGACAGCAGGGCATCCTGTTTGGAGCTGCTTGTGTGAAAACCAGACTCATTTGCACAGTCGCCCACGCCTGGCCTCTGATGTCCGACGGCGATCTCCCACGTGGCCTGGCTCCGCTCCCACCGCACCGGCTCTGCCCGGTCGCTGCCCCCGCGGGCCGGCCCCCTCCCACGGGCAGAAGGCAAGTTGGGACAGGAGGAAATTTACTTCATCAGCTCTGGTTCTCCTTCAGGGCCTTGGTCTTGAAATGTGCTTCTCTTCCCAGATCAAGGTCGTGGAGAAACTTATCGTTAGGCCCGGATCCCTCCAGAGCATAGAAAGTTCACTCGCGCTGATTCACAAACCTTTCCCCCAACTCTGAGCAAGTGCCGTGGGCCAGGGCCCGGGCTGGGTGCCAGGGAACCCCGCCTTTTCCTAGGCAGTGATCCTGGTCCGCTGGGGGGATGGACCACCAGGCACGGCCCCCTGAGGGGGCATTGCTGGAGGGGTGCCCAGGGGAAGGCAGGTTACAGGGGGGTCTTCGTGCATTAAGCTGCTGCAACAAATATCACAAAGACTGGGTGGCGGATAAATAATAGACATTTACGTCTCCCAGGCCTGGAGGCTGGGATGTCAAAGACCAAGGCACCGGAAGATAGGTGCCTGGTGAGGGCCTGCTTCCTGGACAGCCATCTTTTCGGTGTCCTCCCCTGAGAAAAGGGGCCATAGCGCTCTCTGGGGTCTCCTTATAAGGGCATTCGATTCCAGTCAGGAAGGCTCCACCCACATCATAGGCACTTCCCAAGGCCATCACCTTGGGATCTGGGGCAAGGAGGAGGGGGCGTGAACATTCAGACCACAGCAGGCATGCTGGGAAAGGGAGCTTGCACTCGGTCCTCAGAGTTTTAGAGGCACGAGGGTTTTCATCATGACGATGATCCAGTTGCTGACCTCACACCCTGCACACTCCGCCCTGGGCCTTCCGGCAGCCTAACGGGGTCTCAGTTTCCAACAACTAAACCTGCGAGTCAAGTGGACACGGCAGAAAGTTAAAGAACTCAGCTGTGTCCTCACGTGGCTCCTATTTGGATCGTGATGCCTGGTTGCTATGCAGCCATAAAAATAAAGCCCTTGGGGTATTTTTTTTTTAAATCCTCACCAGAGGATACTTTTCCATTGTTTTTACAGGGGGTGGAGGGGGGGGAGGAGAAAGGAAGGTTGATGCCCCCCACTGGGGGTGGGGAGCGGAACCTGCAACCCAGGTACGTTTAGTTTTGTTGTTTAAAATCCTCACCAGAGGATACTTTTCCATTGTTCTTACAGGGGGTGGAGCGGGGGAGGGAGAAAGGAAGGTTGATGCCCCCCACTGCGGGTGGGGAGCGGAACCTGCAACCCAGGTACGTGATTCACTACTTGCTTCTTTTTCTTTCTCTCCTTTCTTTGACGCCTTGGAGAGTCTGATAAAAGCTGTGAACCACTTCCCCCAAAACGCACACATGCTCAAATTAATGCCTCCTCGTTCAGGGTGATCATTAGAACTTCCCAAGGCCCTCCTTGGAGCTGAAGGCGAGAACCTGTTTCTATTCTGACTTTGAGTTTGCAGCCCCACCTCTGGGTTCTCGCTCTGACCTGGTTCTCTGCCTCCGGCCCTCAGGTCTGGCCTGCATAGTAGGCAGAATTCTGAGCAGGGCAATGGGGAACCCTTACCCCTGTATACTCCCCCACCTCTGGGTGTGGGTGGGCCCTGTACATAGGATGAAAATTCACTCCTGTATCATGTAAAGTTACATGGTGAAAGGGAGATTTCACAAGTGGGTCTAATGTAATCACATGAGCCTTTAAAAGCAGAGAGTGGCCCAGCCAGTGTCGCTCAGTGGTTGAGTGCTGACCTATGAACCAGGAGGTCACGGTTTGATTCCTGGTCAGGGCACATGCCCAGGTTGCAGGCTTGATCCCTGGTATAGGGTGTGCAGGAGGCAGCCAATCAATGATTCTTTCATGACGCCTTGGAGAGTCTGATAAAAGCTGTGAACCACTTCCCCCAAAACGCACACATGCTCAAATTAATGCCTCCTCGTTCAGGGTGATCATTACAGCTTCCCAAGGCCCTCCTTGGAGCTGAAGGCGAGAGCCCTGCCTTCACTAGAAGCCCAAGTTCCCCACGAGAAGAGCACTGGGTCTGACCTGGGCCAGGGGGGTGGACGGCCTCCCTCCCTGCTGAGACCCAGCACACAGCGCTGCAGGCCCCACCCCCAGCCACAGCTCCCATCCTTCTGGGCTCTGTGTCCTGAACACGCGATGTTTCTCTCTCTCTTCCTCTCCTTTTCTCTCTGAAACCAATAAAAATATTTATTTTTTTGCCCTAACCGGTTTGGCTCAGTGGTAGATCATTGGCCTGTGGACCTTAGGGTCCCGGGTTCAATTCTGGTCAAGGGCACGGACCTTGGTTGCAGGCTCCCCCCTGTCCCAGATCCTGGTCGGGGCATGTACGTGCAGGAAGCAACCAATCAATGTGTTTCTCTCACATCGATATTTCTCTCTGTCTTTCCCTCTCTTTTCCCCTCTCTAAAAATCAGTGGAAAAATATCCTCGGGTGAGGATTAAAAAATAAAAATATATTTTTTGAAAAAGCAGACAGCGTTGTCTGCTCATCACAGAAGAGGAAGTCAGAGTTAAGGAAGAGGGGGATTGAAGATCCTTACCATAGTTTCCATAACAAGAGCACAGTCTGGCTGAAACCTTGACTTTGACTCTAAACAGAGCACTCAGTCAGGCCCACTTGCACGTCTGACCTACAACTCCAAGGCAATGTTAGCTTAAGCTGCTAAATCTGCAAGAATTTGTTATATGGGGAGAGAAAACAGCTGTGATTCCCCACCCCTTTTCATCAGGCTGAGGGTTGTTCACTTGGGAGCTGGCTGAACATACTCTGGCAGCCCCAGCATTCCTGAAATTCCTGGCTTCAGTTGACCCCTGGGACTCAGGGACTCTGGGTCCTGTCCCTGCAGAATTTCGGCGTCCCCACCTCCCCTCAGGAGTCTGCAGTGTCAGGGAAGCCAGACTCCTTCTCCACTAACCAAGTTCTGTGCATGGTGGCTGGGTGTGCTGCTGGGGAGAGCAGAGAGGCAGAGGCCAGTTCTCATTGTTGCAATCTGGGATGGCTTCCTGTTGAGGCCCATGTCTTCACCTGTGTGGCAGGGGCTGCTAGGAGTCCCCCGATGTCCGGGCTTTCGGCCAGGTGCATCATCTCCAGTGAAGTACTGCACTGCAGCCCCCCTTTGCAGCTAGGCGTGCTCATGGGACTGGGTTCTGGTCAGTGAGAGGTGAGCAGAGACCACATCTGCAGCTCTAAGGGGAGTGAAGGGCCCATCTTTGACCCTTGGCCACTTCCCAGGGGCTCCGCTGCAGGCAGGAGAATAAACCATCTCCCACCCTGCAGATGAAAGCAGCACCTTAAGGAAGGTAGAGCAACAAGACTGCAGGAGCCTGGGCCTCCTGGGGCAGTCCTGGCTAAGATTTTTTTATTTTTCCATTGATTTTTTTTTTTTTTTTTAGAGAGAGTGGAAGAAAAGGGGAAAAGAGGGAAAGACAGAAAGAAACATCAGTGTGAGAGAGACACATTCAATTGGTTGCCTCCTGCACACACCCTGACCAGGGCCTGGGCCAGGGAGGGGCCTGCAAACACAGTACATGCTGTTGACCAGAATCAAACCTGGGACCCTGAGGTTGGAGGCCGATGCTCTATCCATTGAGCCAAACAGGCAAGGGCCTGGCTGGGATTTTTATATGACCAAGTACCAGGGAAAGAAACTTCTCTTGTTTCAGCCAAGAGAGCCTCTTGGCTAGCAAACATCCATTCTAAAGCACATGAGCGGGAGCCTCTCGATGGCAAGCAACAGAAAAATCAATCCAACAGAGGACTGACCTCTTCCTTCTCACCACACCACAGCAACAACCGCGAAGGACTGAGACCAGGCGTAACACACATGGCCACGGAGAAGGGGAGAGACACGACAGAAACACAATTTTAGGAGCCAGGAACCCCATGGACACGGGTTCTACTTGGCCGTCCCAAGAACACTGCACCTGAAGCTGTCAGTGGAGAAGGGGAGAATGAGGCGACTGCGCCCCATAGGACCCCCAAAGGCTCAGCCACTGCCCGGGAACGTCCTTCTGGAGGTTGGCATCAAGGTGGATTGGCAGCGAGAGGGCTGGTTGGAAGTCTCTGTAGGAAGCAGGCAGTTCCCCACGCACCCCATTAGCAGACGACTGGAGCTTTATACTTGGCAAGGTGGGTCCCTGTGCCAGGAGGTACCAGGAGCTTTTTACTAAAAATGAGTTTCCATCCAAGTAAAGAGACCCTCAGTCATCTTCATCCATAGGCCCCAGGATGCTGCGGGCCAGGCTGTAACTTTCAGATCAGAGGGAGGGAGTCTTCTGGGGAACCTTAGCCCAAGAAAAGGACTGCTCACGTTCCCACGCCTTGGTGGGGGGTGTGCCCGTGGAAAGGCTCAGGGAGGTCACAGTGTGGGCCTGCAGTCGGCAGGAGACACTGGTGGCACAGCCTGTCATCAGACATCCACGAAGCCTCAGCCCCTCAGGTCTGGGAAGCTCTCAGCCTCATGTCTCTGACCTTCTCTCTCCTGCACTCCAGCCCTGGGCAACCTCCCCACCCGCCTCGGAGAGGGACCCAAGGTGGGAGCTACAGTTCTGGTCTGCAATGGTGGAAAACTGGGTACAGATGGGTCCTGAGGTGAGGGGAGTGTAGTGGCCCAGAAGGGATGCGGATGGAGGTGCCATGCTTTACACAGCACCTGGACCAGGGCAGGGAGGAAAGGGCGTGTTTCCTAGGAGCCCTGCCCCTGTCCTCCTGGCCCCACAGCACCTTCTGGGGCAGCCTGAATACCCACAGAGCACCTCCCGAAGCACCAACACAAGAGGATCAAAACAGCAGCAAAAAGGTATTCGCTGCAGTCAAGACACTGCCCATGACTCACCACAGAAAAGCCACGCCCCATTCCAAGAAGGGAACGCGCCCATGTGATAGATGCTGTTAAAAGAAATGACCCTGTAGGAAACGGCCCAGCGGTTGAGCATCGACACAGGAACCAGAGTCGCAGGCTCGATTCCCGGTCAGGGCACGTGCCTGGGTTGCAGGCTCCATCCCCAGCGTGGGGCGCGCAGGAGGCAGCCGATCAGTGACGTTCCTGCCTCATGCATGTTTCTCTCTCTCTATCCCTCTCCCTTCCTCTCTCTCTAAAAAGCAATTAAAAAAAGAAAGAAAGAAATAGCCGAAAGTCCCCAACTCCTGCTGCTGCTGAAGATGGCCACCTTCCCGGAGGCCGAGTGGCCCGCTGCGTGGGTTGTTTCCAGCCGCGGGGCCTTAAACGGCCGAAGACTCACCAGCTCCTCCCAGCTGCTTCCTGTGTCCAGGAGATAAAACTGTTTTCCTATGCATCGGGCAACTTCGAATGAGTGAAGAGCCAGGGGAGGCGCAGGGAGGGTAGAGTGGCCCCAGCAGACTCCCTTGAGCACCTTTAGTAGCAGGAGGAAAGGTAACTGAAAAGGAACATTTTCCCAATTGAAATTGCAAATTGCAAAGACCGAGGGATGGTCTGCTGGTTTGAGTGATTTCCTCCCAGGCCTTCGGCAGGTGGCACTGCCCAGGGTAGCCTGGCTGGGGGGCAGAGCTGTGTTCTCTGCCGGGATTCTGACAGACCTGGGCCTGTCTAGGGGTGCCCACCAGGTGGGTCACGATGAGACAGGCCTTAGAGCCCCCGGCCTGAGTCTCATCCTGAGGGAAGGAGACGGACCAGCCTGAACCGGTTCCAGGAACCATCGGATGGGGCGCTGTGGCTGTCTTGGGCTCAGCCCTGTGGGCGCCTGAGTGGGGCTGAGACCCCGGAACAAGGATTTGAGTGCAAATGTTTTATTGCAGGTGACTCCAGGGAGCACACACAGGGGATGGAGGCTGAGACAGGGGAAGACCCGCAGCCAAGAAAGGGCCCATAGTGAATGAGTTCGTCCTGTGGAAGCTGGGCCAGCTGCCGGCCTGCACTCACCCTCTCGGGGTCAGGAAGAGGGTGGGCTGTCGGGCTTTCTCTTGGTGCTGGGCGTGACCTCTCTCCAGCTCTCCACACTCTGAGCGGCCCTCCGGGTGGATACGGCCACGGCAGGGTCTACACAATGCAGCGTGTGCTCCTCGGGGCCTCCTCAAGGCCATCCACTGGGTGCGAGCGGAAGTCTTAGCGCTCCTATTTTATTTATTATTTATGTAAGTGAATTTTTAAAAATATATTTTTATTGATTTTAGAGAGGAAGGGAGAGAGAGAAAGAGAGAGAGAGAAACATCACTGATGAGAGAGAATCATTGATTGGCTGCCTCCTGCACGCCCCACACCGGGGATTGAGCCCACAACTCGGGCATGTGCTCTTGACTGGAATAGAACCCAGGACCCTTCAGTCTGCAGGCTGACACTCTATCCACTAAGCCAAACCAGCTAAGGCAGAACTCCTATTTTTAATCTAGTTTACAACTCATCCTTTTAAAAAACAAACAAACAACTCCAGAGAATGACACCTCACTGGCAGGAAAAGATCTGGTCTTGGGGGTGAGTGGAGACCCAGGGACACCCCAAAGGCCTTGTCGCCAGGGTAGGAGCTGGTGACTGTCAGTTCCTGTTTGATTTTCCAGCGACACTGGGCTCAGTCTCCTCCCCCTGCAGTGCCCGAGCCCGCGGAGCAGCTGGCATGGTGCTCTGTCTGGCGGTTTGCTTGCCCGCCTCCACCCACCCCCACCGGAATCCTGAGGCAGCAGGGCGGGGGGCAGGGGGGGGGTGTCGGTCAGCTCTGGGTGTCCAGTGCCCACTGAGGAGGAAGGGCAAAGGGCTCTGGGGTCAGTGGCTCCACGTGCTACCCCTCACCCAGCCTCCCAACGGGAGCCTTATCAACCCCACCACTTCTGGGGTCAGTGGCTCCACGTGCATCCTGGCTACCCCTCACCCGGCCTCCCAACGGGAGCCTTATCAACCCCACCACTGAGTGAGGGGCAAAGAGGCCCATGGAAGGCCCGTGAGTGGCCCTGGGTTACACAGCCCATCCCTGGTAAGACTAGGACCAACCAAAGCCTGCTGCCAACCAATCCTGTGCTTGATCTGCCTGTGCCACCGCCCCCCCCCCCCATGACAAGGCAGGTGGGAGAATGGGGGGCCAGGGCCAGGGGCCTCTAATTCACAACATCCCAACCAGGGCTGCAGGAATGAGGACAGGGAGGCGCGTGTGCACGTGACCTTTATTTCTGATGCTTCTCTGAGCTGAGGGGGCGGTTCGGAGGGTTAACCTGGGGTGCGTTTTTTCCTGGCTGGTCCCCTTCAGCCCCAGGTCCAGCTGGGGGAGGGGAAAGGGCTGGAGGGGAAAGGGGTGCCTTTTTTGAACCTCCCATCAAGGCGCCCAGCACGGACCCAGCGGAGGCCAGGAGGACGTTGGACGACGTGGAGAGTCCGGCTGCCCCTGGGGGAGAAGAGAGGGTGAGCGCGGGGGACCCTCAGGAGATCCCAACCCAGAGACCCCACCAGGGTCCCTCCTGTAGGTCCTGCCACCCCCAGGGCTCTGCTCTGGGTAGAGGATGCTGGGGTGGCAGAGAGAGGGGAGATGGGGAACTCATGGGAAGTGGGGACAGGAGAGCTGGCCCCAGGCTCCCACCTCCAGGTCCCCCCTCACTTTACACAGGGGGCCCCTGAGGCCCCAAGAGTGAGGGGACCCACCTGGGCCACCCAGGGGTCAGCTGTGGGTAGAGCTGGACCAAGAGCCCCGACATCACTCGCCCTGGGCTCCTTCCTCTCCTCCCCCTCCTCGAACCCCTTCCCCCCCAACCTCACTGGGGAGCCAGAAAGAGGACAGACAGGGGGAGACAAAGGACCGGGGAGCTGGGGAGAGGACAGGCGCCCCCTCAGGCCGAGGCTCCGGGCTGAGTCCCGCCCTGGCCCAGATCCTCCCTCCCCACCCCACACGCTACCCCGGCAGCTCAGGACACGTACCCACCGACTGCAGAGTCGCCACCAG